CTAAATGACCCCAAATCTGGGGTTTCTCACTTAAGACCCCAAACACCGCCAAACTGACCCCAAACTTTGTCTCTCACTCAAAACCCCCCAAATCCCCATTATTGACCCAAAACACCCCAAATCTCACCCAAAACCTGCCCGTTGATCATCCTCCCATCCTCCCCGGCCACGGCTGCGCGGGCGTTGCGTCGTTGACGTACTGACCCCAAACCCCCCTAAATGACCCGAAATGACCCAAAATCCGTGTTTTCTCACCCAAGACCTGCCCGGCGATCATCCTGCCGTCCTCCCCGGCCACGGCGGCGCGGGCGTTGCGCTCGTTGACGTACTGTACGAAGGCGAAGCCTTTGTGGACGGAGCACCCCACGATCTTGCCGTACTTGGCGAAAATGGCCTCGACGTCGCTCTTCTTCACCACCAGCGTGTTGAGGTTCCCGATGAACACCCGCGAGTTCAGCGACCGCGGGTCCGTCTTGTTCGTCACGTTGCTCGCCATGGCCGAGGGGGCTGCGAAGGGGGGGATAAGGGGGTTGAGAACGCCCAAAACCGGATAAAAATGACCAAAAAACCGGCTTGAAACCACCCAGGAATGGCTTGAAATGAGCGAAAACGGCTCGAAATGACCAAAAAACGGCTTGAAACCACCCAAAACCAGCTCTAAATGACCTAAAATGGCTCAAGATAACCCAAAACCGGCTTGAAACAACCCAAAAATGGCTCCAAAGCACCCAAAAAATGGCTCAAAACTGTCTAAAACTGACTCAAACCCACCCAAAAATGGCTTGAAACCACCCAGGAACGGTTCGAACCAGCCAAAATTGGCTTGAAATGACTCAAAAATGGCCCAAAACAACCCATTAACAGCTCTAAACTGCCCAGGGCTCGAAATAGGCCAGAAACGCCTCAAAACCACCCAGAAACGGCCCCACACGACCCAAAAATGGCTGAAAATGGCCCAAGAACGGCCCAAAACCACCCAGGAATGGCTCCAATAGACCAAAAATGGCTCAAAATGACCCAAAAACTGCTTGAAATCACCCAAAAATGGCTCAAAACCACCCAGGAACAGCTTGAAACGACCCAAAAATGGATTGAAACTGCCCAAAACCAGCTTGAAATGACCCAAAAATGGCTTGAAACTGCCCAAAAATGGCTCAAAACCACCCAGAAATGGCCCAAAATGACCCAGAAATGGCTCCAAACCAGCCAGGAACAGCTCGAAATGACCCAGAAATGGCTTGAAACAACCTAAAAATGGCTCCAAAACCCCCAAAAACCTTCAAAATCCCCCAAAACCTTCAAAACGACCAAAAACCTTCAAAATCCCCCAAAAACCTTCAAAACCCCAACAAACCATTCAAAATCAATTAATTAAAAATTAATTAATTATGCTGATTACTCCATTACCACCCCTTAACCAGCCTGCCCTAATTAATTGTGCTAATTACTGCCATTGCTGCCCCTTAACCAGCCCTCCCTAATTAATTATGCTAATCACCCCCCAGATCGACCCCCTTGTAATTAACGGCGCTAATTAATTACACCGACCCAACTCCTGCTAATCACCGGCGCTAATTAACATCATTACCACCACCCCCGCTAATCAACCGCTGGTTAATTAATCAGGTTAATTAGCACACCTACCACCCCCACAACTGTCTAATTATGCTAATTAGCGCCAACAACGCCCCAATTAACCACCCAGAGCCTAATTAACGCCGTTAGTTAGCACCACTGACAACCTCATTACCCACCCAGAGCCTAATTAACACCGCTAATTAGCGCCACTAACACCCTTATTAACCACCCAGAGCCTAATTAATGCCGCTAATTAGTGCCACTAACACCCTCATTACCCGCCCAAAGACTAATTAATGCCGCTAATTAGCCCAGGAGGCATTTTTGGGGGTAATTACCCCCCGTTTTTGATTAATTAACCCCCGTTTTTGAATAATTAACCCCATTATTAAATAATTGACCCCCGCCCCCTTAATTAGCGCTAATTAACCCCCTCTTACCGTGGGGGGTGGGGGAGGGGCGTCCGTGGGTTTTTCGGCGGCGACGAAACGAGGGGGGGGGAGGGGCCAAAAACGGCCCCCGAAAAAACGACAACAATTAAAAAATAAAAAAATCCGATAAAAAAATAAAAAAATAAAAAATTTTAAAAAAATAAAAAAAAAAATAAAAAATTAAAAAAAAAAATTAAAAAAAAAATAAAAAAAGTTTCCAAAACCCCCTAAAAGGGCCCTTTTTTTGGGGGGGGGTGGGGGAGGGGCCTCCCCCTGTCCGGGGCCATCCCCAGGGGGTCCCAAATTGCCTTTAATTAATTAATTAGGGGGGGAGCCTTAATTAAGGGGGGATTGGGGGGGAGGGGCCTGGGGATGGAGGGGGGAGGGGCCTCCCAAAACCCGCCCCCGCCGTGGGAAAATTGGTTTTTTTGTGGGGGGAGGGGCCCCGTGGTGGGGGGGAGGGGCTTAAAGGAGGGGGGGTGGGGCGGGGGGTGGGGGGACAAAATCCTGATTATTTTGGGGCTTTTCTTGGCTTTTTTTTTTGCTTTTTTTTAGCTGTTTTCGGTTTTTGGGGTGAAAAAAGCAGAATTTGGCACTTACGGTCGCCGGCGGCTCTTTTATTTTTTTTTTATAAAAAAATCGCGCTGTGAAAAGACAAAAACAACAGAAAAAAAAGAGAAGCAAATTTTTTTTGGGGCGGTTTCGGGGTTTTGGGGGAGGGGCTAAAAAACAAAAAACTCCTCCTCCCGCCGCCCCTCCCCCCATCAAAACGCGGCCCCTCCCCCACCAACGAACCCCCCCCGAAGCCCCTCCCCCACCTCAGCCCCCTCCCCCACCCCCCGAAAAACCTACAAAAGGCCCCAAAATCGGGAGATTTGGGCCCAAAACGGCGCCGGGAGGGGGTGGGGGAGGGGAGGGGGATGGGGGGAGGGGGAGGGGTCTCAGGGGGTGGGGGAGGGGCCGGCGGTGCCTCCTCGGGGGGGGTCCTGTGGAAGGAGAGAAGGTTGAGAGACCCCTCCCCCCCCCCCCCCCCCCCCCCCCCCCCCCCCCCCCCCCCCC